TTTTTTGTTCATTAATTGGAAACACTTAGTTATGGTGCTGCAGGAGGAGAATGCCCGTGAAAACACAGTCCTGTAGTCATTGCTATGACAACATGCATCTGCTCATGAATTTGTAACCCTTTGGCACCCAGCCTGATGCCCTCACGCCCACTCAGCATGCTGGCGCAATTCATATGCAACGTTGGCTTCTATTCAACGACAGGAAATTACACCGCCTTTGGCCCGTTTTTTTTTTTTTTAATTCATAATCCTCACATTAAATCTGACCATCAGAGACACAAATGTTCGTTCATTTGAATAGTTAAATTTAAGAGCTTAAATTTAAACAGTTCCCTGTGCATTTTACAATGACAAAAATCACAGGTGAAGACGATTCGAAATTAACAACATACAAATAATTACATATAACAAATACATATTACAAATAATATGTAGTATTATTTGTTCTCAACAACGTCTATTTATATTTGTGCACTCCAATAATTTACTGTTTTTATTATCCCTCGCAAAATATTCAAATTTTCTCCAAAACAATTCATGGTGATATTTATTAAAATTGTCAGTATGGCCTGACAGTACTGCATGAGTGAAATGATCGATTTTCTGCTCGGCGGGAAAGTTTGTCACCTCTTTTTTATTTTTAATTGGTTGAACATCGCTCCAAAAAATTAATATTAAAATAATAACATCTCGCGTAATATTTAACACTCTGTTACAAATAAGTTGTGTTAAAAACGTAGCAGATATGGCTAACATTAGCTTGTTTACATTCTCAAAAAAAAAAATAATGGTAGGAAAAATGTAACAAAAGTAGTGAAAAAGTACTGTATGTGCCACGTATATACATATGTGGATAAAAATATTGGTACCATTTTCACAAAATAATATTAAATATTTTCAATTAATTTTGAATTTTTTTATTGTAAAAAATACTAACAACTAACAAATTAAAATCAGGTATTGATTTATTTTTTGCAGTTGACCTGAATTATTATAAAAGTGACCAAATTAAAAGGCCTGGACAAAAATGATGGTACTCTCAACATACTATTTTTGTTGTGCAACACTTTGAGGCGATCACTCTAACGATTCAAGACAACCTGTGCCAGATGCAGCAAAGCAGCCCCATTACATGATTGATCTGCTTCATAATGGTGCCTGACACATGCCTACCATTTAGGTTCTTGCATATTTTCTTTCAGAAGTGGGGTCCATCCAAGCCACTGTCGGAGTTGCCTCTGAGCAATTGCAGGTTGGTGATGAAAGAACTACCTCAGACACAGACATTTTTGGTTGACAAATATTTTATTCTGGCCATGGCCAAATACAGATGATGTCAAGGTTATTACAGTCTCTTGAAATTTTTCCTCCCCCAACTTTCCAAATCGTTTGCACCTCCCTGATAGGGATCAGCCACATACCGTAAGGCATGAATCTCTAATGTTACTTGTTGCAGTATGTCTGCACACAAAGATTCACCAATTCACTGAGACTACAGATAATCAGCACTCACACACTTCATAGTTAAAGAGAACCAATGCAATATCGGAGTTACAGTATTCTATATTGCCATACACCTCAAGGGCTAGTAGTGATACTAGTGCAACCCAGGAGTTTACTAGAAAGGTTTGAAAATACCAGGAGGCCAAAAGGCGCGCTACTAATGGAACACAGGTGGTTCTACGAGCCCGCTGAAACCTATTACAAGGACATGAAGGATATTGAATGTATCTGAATGTAAAAACGGTGGTCTCCCCCTATGTTCTACACTGGTGTAGGACCAAACTGATATGAAGATATCGCATCGCCATGGCAACACAATTATCTTGCCACATAACGTGGGAGGAACTCGCCATGTATGATCCCCATTTAGACGGATATAATTATTCACAGGCCTGCAGGAGGCAACGCTTCTCTTTGTGCTCTGCCAAAGCACATTTGAGTGTAACAATCCCATCAAGCTGTTTACAAATGCTTTACACGAGTCATAGAATTTTCTGTCAATCTACTGATTCGCAGAGTCACCTTTGGGGCCATGGTAACAAAATAATGAGTGGCAGTCCTCGTTGCCAAATTCTGATTGACTTCAGCACACATGATGTCGCGTAATGAAGTCACAAGGCCACTTGAAGCAAGTCCATTAGTTACCTAGAAACTCCAAGAGTTGTGCTATTTGTGACAACAAACTCAGACATTGGGAGTCGGAGCCATGGAGCCATGTTTGTACAGCTTCTTTATTGTCTCATCACGTCGTGTAATAGTATTAGGATGCCCAGGCGAGTGGAATGGAGCGTGCTTCCCTTCGACCCAGGACACACACACACACACACACACACGCACACGCACACGCACACACACACACGACAGTACGCAACCCGTTTGCTGTTTTCAAGCTAATTATTGTAAATAAGATGAGAAATATGATAACATATGAACAGGACACTGAAAACAAAGTAAACACACAAAAAAAGAAGCCAACTACCCCAAAGCACATCTAACTATTTCAAGGCACCGCTCAAGGAAAAGGCTACCAACTAAAATATAGCACTGAGTCACATTTCATTCCCTGTGTCTTGTAAAATGTAAAACATCTGGATTAGTACAATCAAATGCCAAACATCTGAGCTGTGAGCCAATTTCATCCAAAATCCGAAAGCAGACAATGAGAATTGATATGCCAAAGCAATGCGTCCCAGGTGGAGAGAATTCAAAGTTATATTTTTAACAAACAAAAATAAATAAATAAAGGGATTCCATCATACTGGTCACCAATAGGATTAGCAACCAAATTATGATTAGGACACACATGCAAGCATTAACACTCCAAATAATATAAAAATATACACACACACACAAATAAGGTACGAAGATGGTTTCAGCTGGAAAGTTGATGCAACATGTGGAAAAAAATTACTACAGAGTATGAAAAATACTCTGGAATATTTGACCGGCCGTTCTGGAAACTCCAGAAGTTCCCAATGGCCACCACGCCCCTGAACAAGGGGGAAAACCTGCACCCGTATTGATGAGTTAAAGGTAGCAAGTAATGGGTTCCCAGGTTATTGGTCTGCAGCCCGCCAGATCCAATCTGCTGGGTGAAAATAATTAACCCGACCTTGAGTAAAAGTAACAGCTCAAAATCCACAGTTACTCAGCGAGTGAGTTATAACCCAGGGTTTTTTAGTGCGTAGCAATCGCTGCCATCAAATGATCACTTATTCAACATTCCTAGAAAATCACAATTTCCAATCGCTGTTGAGCTAATTTTAGAACAGGTCGGCGGGCATCTCGTGTGGCGACCCCTGCTTTCGAGTCTTCACTGAAACTAAAATCCATGGTTTTGACAACTCCACATACGGATTCAAACGCAGAACCGCACAATTCTGAAGCAAACATGTCAGTCACGACGCCAGCATAATTCAAAGACATTTCAATGGGGAATGCATGGTAGCTGGCAAAAAAAACACAAATTATCAGTTGGAGCTTTCATATATTCCAAACAATGTCCAACATCTAATAGCACTAAATTCCTGAGCTCAACTTCCCATGGAAAGTTTCTGGAAATTTACCAGAGCTGTTCAGCCCCTTTCAAAAGAGCGAGTGAAAAAAAAGAATCAAAATACATAAGACCATTTGTACCATGAAAATTGTGCTTCAGCACCACAGCAACAAAAGCACATTTCCATGCATTTCTGCTTTTACTTTGACAACCGTTGCGAGCACTCGCACGTACAAATTACAACCAAACACAATTTCTTTTTTCTGTCGTCGTAGGTGTTCGTTTCTCACCACCGCCAGATGACTTTTGACTAAATTATGGATGTACACTCACCAGTCACGACGACTAAGCACACTTGTACAGTCTACTGTATTATGAAATCCAACCCAAGAAATGTTACAAAAAATCTCGCTCTCACTTATGACTGACACTTTTTAAGAGCTGTATTCATTTCATTTATTATTGTGGTTGTCATTTGCAGTGGTGAAGAATTTGTGAGCACTTCATTACAGATACCTACAACCAAAGTAATAAAAGCTATTAATTAGGGATGTTTGATACCACTTTTTTTTTTCAGACCGATACCAGTAAGGTGTATTCACTCAAGGACTTACCGATACCATGTACCGATACTGCTACGACTAGACAAATAATACAATTTCAATTAACACATACACGGATGTCCTTTTGACACACGATGAATTCCTTAATTTCAATGTGTGAAAATGACGTAAGAAATGAACAGGCAAAAATGAAAGTGACATAACAGTACATTCTAAAATAAAAGTAGATCGAAAAGGCGTAGAAAGAAGTAAAACAAGAGTTGGAGAAACCAAAACAAATGATGATTTGCTTTGTGTGTCAAACAGCCGCATGTGTAGACCCAACTACTGGCAAAGGGGACCTACTCAATGCAAAAAAACAAATGTTGACGTTATCTGTGGCTGGTATCGGCAACCTTTACGAGTACCTAATACCTTGAAATAAGGCCGGTATTGATACTAACCCATCCCTGGTATTAATTAGAATAAAAATCACACATGCGGGTACAAAATAACGCTGGTAAGATAGAGATTTCATTCAGAGTCGGTTCAAAATGGTGCGTTGTGTGTACCAAAAATGTATCTCTCTTCTTCAATGCTACAAAAATATGTGCATTCGCAGTGTTTTGGCTTTTTTTTTGGGGAGTGGGTGTGGAATAAAAATACATCTTCCTCTTGTCCAGTGACTTGATGGAATGAAGGGACTCAAAACGGGCCATCCGTGTGATCGCTTGTGCTATTTGGTGGTGGCAGGAAGGCCTCAGTGCGGCTTCCGGATGTGCTGGCCCCCCATTGAATTTTTCACAGCGTCCTCCAGTGACTTTCTGGTGACCAGAAGCCGCACCACGTCCTCTTTCTTCTTGGTTAGTCTTTTACGCGCCTGGTCGTGAGTCACCATGGTCATGTCCCAACCGTTTACCTGCAAACACCAACAATGTAGATTTGCTTCTAATTGTCTTCTGGTATGTACAACAACAGTGGGGAGCGTCTGTGATGAGCACGCGTTCACATTGCGTCATCTAGTGGAGGATTCAAGCACCTGCATAATTTTGTCTCCCATCATCAGGCCGGCCATGTCTGCTGGTCCGTTTGGTGTTATTCTGGTCACATAGATGCCCTAAAAAAATGTAAATGGTTAATTAATAAAGTGAAATACTAAAGTAAATTAATTCACAGCAAAGAGTACAAAAAAAAAAATTCTGAGTCAAATCTATTCAGTCAACAGAAAATACTTTTCAACAGTCGAAGGCATTTTTAAAGCAATATTTTACCACACTTTTGTGTTTTAAGTTAAACGCTGTAAATATGAAGCCATAAAAAGAATTAATAGTCAAGGTGACTTACTTCTTTGAATAAAAGATTGTTTAATTCACATAACTTCTGGTGTGTGCGATGTTCTTCCCATGTTCTGAGATTGCTCACTTCAGCCAAAGAAAAAAAGCAAAATGCACAGCCTGTGATGCGTAAGCCTCTGAGGTACGCCGAAAAGGACTTGCTGGATATCACGTCTGACATGGCGGAACGCTGTTTTGTTTGTGGGACTCAACTCAAAATTCTTTTTTTTTTTTTTTCTGTGGGACATTTCCTGAGCTCTTCATAGTTTTGGAGCATTTTCTATAACGCTAAGATGCTACAAGATGGAACCAAAGCCCTGGCAAATAGGAAAATAGTAATTGTTGCCATGGAGCTATGTTGAAGAGATTAATCTTGACTGAGATATGAAGATCTTTGTAGGTCGGGGAGTTGCAAAGTTGAGCCTGGGTTGTTAGCGGAATTAACAGTCTTTGCTTTCTGCGTGAGTTTTTGCTCTGCCAGATCCAAAGCCAGAACTTCAAAGCTGCTAGGCAGACACACCAACCTCTCATCCAATTAGACGCCTTCAGAAATATTATAAAGTAATAATGATAATAAAAGCAATAAACAGTGTGCAATGTGAACCAACACTACTGCCAATTTTACATGCAAACTTGTGTCAACCTGTAGCCATCTTATATCATCCTATGACATCATCATTGTAAGTCATCCGAGGCCTTCCGTGATGTGTTCAGGCATGATGTTAACATCTCACCATACTCTTTGTTTCAAGATGTGGGGAAATGCAATGTGCAGCTCAATGACACGTTGTTAGCAACTTAAAATATAGCTTTTTTTCCCCATTAGACAAGGCCTGACTGAATGAAGCTCCTTCGCCCCACTTTAACATGGTTCCTTGGCACCAAAATGCCACGCGTTTTTTCATTTTAGACATGCTTAGTAATCATCTGGAGGACTAGTATTTAAACTTTATTTTAGTCACATAATTCTGAATAATACCCTTGAGAAAAATTTGGGGCTGCTAGACCCACCTGCAAATTTCATTTGCTAGTTCAACTTCATCATTCAACTTCATCCCCTCAGTGCCTTTCACATAAAACTGTGACACAGGAAAAGGCAAAAATATGAACAAATAAATAACGTGGCTTTTCCAGGCACTTAATCAGGGTAGAATGTTGTATTTGATCTTCCTCACTATCAGAACACTAAAACAACACAGTACATGTATCATTTAACACCTAAAAAGAGTGCACTTACTTTATCACTCTTGTCCTCTGAGAAGGGGTTCTGACCAGGATCCTGGTCGATCCCTCCTCCGATGCTGAAACCCAAGATGAGATTGTCTCCCTGTCGTAACTTCTGGATCTCAATCCTTTGCTGTTTGGTAGAACAAAACAGAAAATATGTGGTATTTAACAAAGAAATGGTACTCCAATCAGCAAAAATACACACATGCAGAACAAAAGGTCGATTTGAGAGACGGGATTCCCCTTTGGGACAGAAGCAGAGTGTCAGTGGTTTTGACAGTGAAAAACAGCTGCAGGCAGGATGACTGCCATTGAGGGGTCGCTCATCAACACAAAGGCTTCCTCTGTGTGTGTGTGTGTGTGTGTGTGTGTGTGTGTGTGTGTGTGTGTGTGTGTGTGTGTGGAGTAAGACAACATTCCTTCAGTGGTGCAGCTGATACAATTAGATCTAAAGAGGCCTGGAGTGCTGCCTGGAAGTCATTCAGTCAATGAGGTGTTGCGAGTCACTTTTAAGAACCTCAAAACGTTATAAGTCAACCCAAGTCAATCATTTTATTGTGTTTATTCGATCCAAAATATTTGTGCTTTATAAATAGAGAATATATATATTTTTTTTGTATATAACTTGTTCTCTTCAGGGTTGCAGGTGAGCTGGAGCCTCAGCCAGGACACTCAAAACAACCAACCATTCACATCGATGAACAAGAGCCTTTATTGAACCTCATGTTTTTGATTTTGTCATGTATGCCATATTGAAAACCTAAAATTCAAACCACAAACCTCAAATCTGTGGGAGATGTGCTGGTCACTAGTCCACCATGCTACCCACAAAGCTATTTACTCCTGTACTGAAGGGTCCATGTGCAATTTAGCAGGAAATACATTTGATGAATGGAAGGTAAAAATGAATGAATGGAGCACATAAATTACTATGTCAGAATTTATGTCATTGGCGATGACGAGGTTCCAACTGTATACTGCACTGTTATGTGGCTTCTAGTGCATCTGGTCGTAATTAAGATAATTCCAACGGCAAGTGAAGGCACCGCACTTCTATGGAACCTTGGAAGACACGTCATCGACGGTAACGCCCATTGAGCTATCAACAACCATTTGGCAAACGTTAATCTAAATTGCCACATTTTAAATGTTTACTTGGAAAATGAAATGATGAATGAATCAAATAACTATTACAACGCTTTGCGTCACCCCCTCGCTGATGTGTTCAAGTGCCCACCCAACAAAGAGAGTCACCTTCCGTTACGATAGCTAGCTGGAGAAAAATTGTGCGAAAAATGTGTCAGTGAATACTAGATCGGGAATGTTAATGAGTGATATAAGCTTTAACTACAGGCAATGGACAATGAAAATATTATCTTTCATAGAACTTCGCATTAGAATGTGGACAATGGAGTAATGTTGAGCGTCCCAATCCCACTCCGTAACTTCAACTCACCACAACAGCAGTCATCGGCTGTCCGGGGATAAAAGACATTTTGTCGCTGGCGTGATAAGGAATTCAACGACAGCAACAATAACAACTTGAAGGAAATGTTGGAGAGGGAGAAAAAGAAATCCAAAGTGGGGCAACTTCCTTGATGACTACTACTACATTAGTTACAGCAGGGCTGATCCCTTGCTGAAAAACTGGGCGCGGCCTTAACTAGCCCGGTGCATTATGGTTAATGAAGTTGTTGAGCCACACTGTTCCAACCAGTAGTCACAGCACGCACAGAAGGACTCAGGTAGCAAAATAAAAATATTGTTCGGAACATGCCTAAAATGTCTACAACCTGCATTAAACAGCAGCAGATATTTTGAAAATTTTCATTGTTGTAATATTTTATTGTGACAAATAAAATAATCCATACAATAATCCAATATAATGTAGAATATTACTTAAAGCATGTTGACCGTGGGCAGGTCAGTCTCCCTGAAAACAAAGTTCTGAGTTCAAATCTCAGGTTACATTTCAATGTTGTCCTCGTGCATCTTTTTTTGTTGTTGTTTTTGTTGCTGTTTTTTAAAAAAAATATATTTTTTGAGGGCAATCGTCGCTTCCTTCCACATTCCAAAAAACATTCATGTTTGCCTTTCTAAATTGTCCATTCGTGCGAGCATGAATGCTTGTTTGTGTTTATAGGTGCTCTGCAGCTGTATGGCGACCAGTCCAGGATGTCGTCTACTCTAACCTAAAGTCAGGTGCGAGCGCAGTAAAACGATTTTACTCCAAAAAGTTTAACATCATTATAAGCCACTGAAACATTATGCAAAGTTTGATCATTAACACTCCGCTTAGATTTGGTGGGGGGGAAGCAAAATAATGATACAGTTTGAATGTATATCACATAACATTTAAATAAATTCCTCAATAAATGATTAAAAACAAAAAGCTCTTCAAGAATAAATGCAAACTCAATGAACGTAAAACTTAAAATACAATTAACTTAACTGTTCAAGCAGCGATTCCTTCATGTACAGCTAGAGGGAGCCGATATACCACGAGTGGTACACACAATCACGCTGACAATTGCTGGTGGAGAAAATGGATGCATGGATGGATTGCGCATTCACATTAATCGGGTTTTGCCTCTCTCAGAGGGTCGATCTCCAATCCGGTAAATAATCCTGTTGCTGTGTTTTCTCCGTCATGCTTCTTTTGTTTGGTAACCGGGTGCGAAAGGAGGAGGTGGTGAGTACTCTTGCGGTAGGTTCTCGCCCTCATCGTCGTCGTAAGGGGAGAGCACAGCGTCGAACAGCTGCTCCCAGGACATCTCCTGCAGCTCTTCAGTCTTAGTGTTCGTCTCATTGTGGTGGTCAACGATGGGAGCGGGGGTCACCTCCTTGTTGGGGGGCGTGAGCACATTCTTAGAAGGAGTTTCGAGAGGTTTCACGGGCATCGTGTTGTCAGTGATGTATCGCTTCCTGGTCTTTGGAACGGGCTTTAGAATAGGAACAAAAAAAAGACAGAAATGTAATTATTTGAAGCATAACAGAATTCATGGTCAAATGATTCTAACCATGGCTGGACGTGCATGGTTGCGGGACTCATCATTATTGTGATATTCTTGATTTTCTTTCGATGTCACATGACTCGTGCTGGACTGCACAGAACTGTTGCCGCTGTATTTCTTCCATACATTTGAGGCCTAAAGTCAAAGCAGAAGAATAAATCAACATAAGCTTCAACAGTGAATACTAAGTATTACACCAAACAATTTTGAAGGTTCCAACCAAATCTGCCCCTTAACATGTTTCAGATTCAGACTTCATAATGAAACTTTTGATTCGTATACAAATTGTTGGGTCTCCGGAGTGACTGCTGTGAAATTAACCAAATAAATCTTTTTTCATCTGCCTATTTAAAAAGGAATTTCTGTGGGTGAGCTGTTCTACACTTCCACCTCAATGTTGTGTGGATATTAGGACTAATTTATATGATGACGGATTAAGCTAAGATTGCTAACATCGATTAGCGCACAATCTATTTATATTGCTTATGATCCCCACGAGAGCCATTTGAAGTGGCTCTGATTAACCCCAAATTAAGATTAGCTGTTCTGGTAGGCTCTTCCTGTTTTTTTTTTTTTTTGTTTTTTTTTTTGTTTTGTTTTGTTTTGTTTTTGCCACACCCGTCAGCAAAGCCAGCAGTGTTGTGTTAGTGGACCAGAATAAAATCTCCCAGACACGTGGGAAAATGTTTTTAAGGGGCAATGAAATCAAGGTTGAACTTTCTGGCCTTAATTCCAAGTGGTATGTTTGGCACAAACAAAACATTCCTCGTCACCAAAGAACACCATACCTACAGTGAAAGACTGTGGTGGAAGCATCATGCTTTGAGGCTGTTTTGGGTCTTTTTATGAACACTTCCAAAAAGCACTCAGTGTGAGCGCAAAACCTTCACGCTTTAGCTAGAGAGCAAAAAAAAACCCGTCAGCAAAAGCCTACCAGAACACCAAGTGATTGCTCAGGATTGCTCACCCGTCCACAAGAGAAAGTCAGCACCTCGTTGTGGGCCGCGATGGGGACCTTTCGGTGAAAGTCCACCAGTTGTTGCAAACTAGAGTGGCACTTTCTCTCACCCACAATGGTGCAAGAGCCGTCCTCCTTGGCATCAATCATGAAATGTCTGAAGCGACCCTCGGCACTGAGGCGGGCGCGGAAGAGAAAGAGTGTGAGACTTTGTGCGACTGCACTCCAAAAAACGGTTTTAAGAAAACATAAAATCAGTCATGAAAATAGGAATATTGAATTTAATTTCAGCATATCATAGCTCATGGATAAACAGATGGCCCAATGAGACACAGACACGAACGGTTGGGGTTAAATTAGACTAACGTCGATAACACAGGAAACTTTGACTTAACAAGATTCCTTACATACGATACCTAACCTAATAAAAACCCCAAAACGTCGATGTATGGGATGTCCTTAACGAGTGTATTTAAACTTCCTGCACTGAAAGAATTCTGGTCTGGAAAAAAAAAATCTCAATAAAAGTTAGAATACCGAAAGGGGGGAACAATGCTTGAGGCATGTGAAATGCCTTTATAAATGCCTGGTAAGGAGACAGACTAAGAACAAGTATGTTTTAGCTTGATTTGATCAATTTTACTTTAGCAAAAAAAAAAAAAAAAAATTACCGCATCCCCCCAAAAAAAACCTCACCGATATGAGAGCGTGTAGCCAACTCTGCTCTCGCTGACTCTGATAAGGAAGGAGCCTGGAGGCTTGGATACGAGAAGATCTTCGGCAGCCCTGCACACAAACATAAAGACGAGCTTCATTAACATAAAAAGTCATCTATTGGATGTCAGTGGTTTTCAAACTGAGGTTCTTGACCACACAGGGGTCCGGGAGCTGTACCTATAAATATTCATGCTCCTGGTCATTACTGTATAAGAAAAATAGGTAGCTTTTTAATTCCCATGGCATGTAAGGGTGCACATAGCAGTTAGTTACATTCAATAGGTGTTCGGATTATGCTATTATGATTAAAAGTGTAGCGATGCACTGGGAGTGATGAATATGAGGCAAATGGAACTTACGACATGACCGTGGTGAACAACAACTGCCTACCGGTCAGACAAGAAAGGCTTGATGAATACTGATTACAATCATCTATCCAGACATGAGTGATGATGGTTCCGTGTTTGAAACATTGTGGAACAGGATCAGTTCAAATTTTACCGCCACAGCCCAAAACATGTCTTCATTCTGTCTCGTGCATTTTTATAAGATCCAATTCACAAGTTTTGACTTTTTTGTTTGTTTGATTTTGTACTATCCACATTTACAAAACAAAATTATGTTTATATTTTTGTAATCAGTTTTCATATTGTCCTGAAGAAATTCAGGACACAGGCAAAAAGGCAAAACCCATGTGACACAAAACATACGCAACCTCATGATGACAACAACTAAGTGTTTATAGTTACTATGAACCAGCACAAGAATAACCTTGGGTAGTGATGAGCCACATACTGCTTCACCAAGTCTAAAAACTTTATTTGTTGACAGGTAGCAGACTCTTGAGCTGAAGTGAATTAGAAGTCAACATTTCTTTCTTTGTAGTATTCTACTTCAACACCCTGTTACAACAATATTGCAGTCCTTAACAATATTTAACAAAATGTTTATTATCATGGTAGTTTGTGGTGCTGTCTGAATCATACTGAGAGAGCTGTTTCTACCGTGTCGGTCATCTATTTAGCGACCTGCCATCTATTTTTTTTCTTCTCAAAAAATGTGAAATACCTTGTAATTATTAATGTTTCTCATTTAATTTTCAAAAAATCTATTATCCGACCCGCTTACCATCACGAGGTTCGCAAGCATGTTGGTATTTTCGTTCAGTAGTTTGGGTACAGCCTGAACAACCGCAAGGCACAAACATTCACGCTCACACTTATGCCTAAGAACAATTTAGAATGTTGAATTTTTGGGGAGTGTGGAAGGAAACCAAAGTACCCGGACAAAACCCACACAGTCATGGGGACAATATGCAAACTCCACACAAGAATCTTGGAGCCCGGAATCAAACCCTGGACCTGTGCACTGTGAGACAGGTGTGCTAACCAGTTGCTCACCATGCTGCCCCCTTTTTTTTTTTTTTTAATCATATGACGAATATTCATAACTTTAAAAAAGTAAATAAACAATAGAATAAAAATTTGGATGAATAGTTCATGATTAAACAATTTTACATATTTTTCATCCACATCTTAACTCCCCCCCCAACCCCCCCACCATACCCAATCCATGATTGACCTAATTTAGAGCAAAAACAGTTTTCCCACCCCAGCTTTCAGGTCTGTTTCTGTTTTGTTAAATGTTCACAAAATGGCCTGCATGAGCAGTGACTTACTTCCTGCTAATTCTCCAATAGAACCATTCGGGAACAACTCCATTTTGGATCCAAGTGGGTTGGGAGGCCCCAAACCAGGTATTATTCTGCTGTTGTGATAGCTGACTGAGCTCGGTCATATTCTGAAAGGCCTAATGAGTCTGTGGAGAAATCAGAGAGAAATGAACTTCGAGATCTTTTTTCCTTTGGCACAAAGTGAGTGACAAAACCAGTGTGTTCTCACAACAATTGTATCGTGCGGGGGTGTTGCTCACACAAAATATGAAATTCTACAAAAACAGCAATATATGGCTACATACTGCTCTAAAGCCAAATCAACCTTAAGTGGACCACATTATTATTCAAATCATTTTCACTCCACGAATCACACATCAAATTAATTGGAGATATTTAGAAATCTCTCCAAGCCAAATAAAGTAACTTACCCTCACTGGTAAAGCCTTTGGTTGGAAAATGACAGGCCAGCTCAACACACCTGAACAAACCAGTCCTGGCGGGGGGCGGGGCACAAATGAATCATGCGGAACAATGAGGTCATACCCAACATTGTCATGTTTGGAAAAAAAAAATCAGACTGTCCAACTTCAACAAAAGAGGAGAAAAGAAACAACCGTGAGACAAATACAAATGTACTTGGAGGAAAAAACGTTTTTGTTTGTTTTTTTGCTTCATTGTATGGTTTAAAATTTGGTTCGTTTTACTGTATGTGACCTGGTGAATCTAAAACAAAAAAGTGTTCATTTTTGGGTTGTTCTTAACTATTTCATTATTTTCATTTTAGAATAAAATCTCCACCGAACTTGCTATTTTATTTCACTGCAACTGGGTCTACAAGCTTTTCTTTTCGCCAAATCCCTTGATAACAGTAATGGGGCACGAGACTTAGATGCTGGGCTAAACGCCATTAGAAGCTGCAACACGCACACACAGACAGATATTTAGGAACAAAATTCAAGCCCTCTCCCAACCCTTCCCGCATTAAATTGTAATAATTTACTCGCAACCGTCAATTCTGTTCATTTGATAGCAATTCTCTTGGCTGTACTCATTCCAGCACGTATATTTTGATATTAAATTATTTCTCAAGCCAATCAGATTTCAGCCTCTACGCGTTGCCATGTCAATCTAATCTGCTCAGCAGTGCTGACCGATGTAATTTAAAGTACATCACAATGGGATCTTGACACAATAACATCAGGACATCCACATTTAATAATCAGCATTTCCGTTGACGTATTTCATTAAAATTACTTAATGTTTTGGCAATGTTATCGGATAAACAATGATCGTGACGATGATGATGTTGATTGTGACACCTGGCTTTTTTGTGGTCCTGAAAAAAAACACTAAAAGTTTATCTTGGTGTCTATAAATTCGTACTGTGGGGTATGATTAGCATAAATTGTATCCTTGAGGGACAGTAAATTAACTCTCGGTGCCGTTGTTGACACATGACAGTTGACTACTTTTTTTAGCTTTGAGTTGTCGCCAAGAGAACCAGTTTGAAAGGTTTTACTGCCACTCATGTTTTACTGCCCTGTAACAAAATTCCTCTTTCATTCATTCTGAGCCCAAATACACATGGGCATGTTTCCCCTACCCACCCAACACAATGGTTTATTGTATTTTAAAATACAGATGTCAGTCAAATTGTGTAGCAGCCGAAAAAGACACGATGCCACACGTATAGCAAATCTGAGTGTGTACCGATTGTGAAAGCAAAACTGGTCTTCAAAGATTGAGGGAACCTTTTTATCAGCAGGATGTCTCCGAATTTCCATTGTTCATCAAAACACCTGTAATGAGAGAATAGGAAGAAATTACCATGCTTCAAATAACAGAGGAACTTAAAAAAAACACACCCAAAAACGTTTTAATTTAATGATATAGAAGCAAAAATGGTAGATCACGTGATGATTTGACACATATCATACAAGCACGCAATATTTTAGTCTTGATTTTTTTTTCTAGGTTGGCTATCAATGTCTTCAAATTCCTCCGCAATGGCTGCCTTGCTGTTGTTTGTACTGTAGTATTGATTCGTTTGCGTGTATACTGCTGCTGTGATAATTTTCTCTGAAGCATGACTCCTCTAAGTGAGATGCATCTTGAGTCTCTGATGAAAGGCCTTGCAGTCAGTCATTTTTTTCCCACAGGAACAAGAACACGCCTACTTAATGATTACATTACCTAATTGGGTTTCAATGAATCGGGGCGGAGGCATCACCTCAGCTGGAGACAACTCATTTCAAGGGCATGAGTCAACCGCAAATCCCTGCCGACTTACAAAACAAAAGGCGAGTGCAATTTGAGGGTGCACGAGAGTTCAAACAATAAAACTGCAACCGAAACACACGCAACACTTTCAATCCCATCTTTTAATAAATCATGAAAGTACACATACAGTATCTACAGGTGTGTAGACAAATCAGATTTATGAAACTACAGTACAATCGTTGCAGGTCTTATGTACAATTTCTGAATGATGTCAGGACTTCCTCACGTAATGAAATTTCAATTTTGTTTGGGAAAGAAAATATTTGATAACCTCCCAAATTGAATCTGAAAACCCATTTCGAATCAGGCAAACTTGAGATTTAAATCCACAGGTCGAGAATCACTGAGGTCATTGTAATGAAAGTTCAACAATTTTCTATATTCTCACATACGATATGAATTTGGAGTGACAGCAAGACAATAGAAATAGCAAATATACTCTGCACGTTTCTCAAATAAAGCTCTTTTGAGGTTCGTGTGCACCCGGAATGATTAGTTCAGATGGCTGTGCTAAGAAATAACAAGGATACATCCAAGTTAAATGTCCACAATGCTGGAAACATTTCCGATTCACTAAAAAGGGAAATGCAGACAACACTGGCCATCTTCATTTTCATAAAATGCATTTCAGTGCTCGGGTGTTTTTTTTTTGTGCATGAACAGGAACAGTCAACAAATGTGAAGGAACGACAGATCCGAAAAGGGTATTTTTGTCTTTTGTACACAAAGAACACAGGGGGGAAAAAGTGCATGACTGATTGATAAGAACATAAAAGGGCACTTTGTCATTTTGGTGCTATGTCCTGGGTTTTTTTTTCTCCCGCTCCATAAATACTGTTACAGCACAGCCACCGAACCAAGGCCCTCAAAACAGTCGTGTACTGTATGTAATCCCCCATTGGAAACCGGCAACTGGAAGAAGTAGAAATGAATTAAAAAAAAAAAAAATTTTAATTGCCACTGTGATCCCCCTCCTTTGTGCTGCTATGACACCATTTCCTCTTGGTGGGTGATTCGACTCTGAGGAAGTGCATACATTGAATTGGCAGCCATCTTTGTGCCATGAAGATAAACATTGTCAATGACTCAAGCCCGACTGGCCTCAAATGACACCACACTGCATAACCAAGTGCTCACAAAAACAAAAGTCTCAGCTTGAGGGGGTGGACCGGATATAAATGTAAGCCCCCGTGCTTATATGATAAGGAAGACAGTTTCATAGGGTGGGGGGAAACTAATAGTGGTGCCTTGACATGCAAATACAATTTCAATTTTCAAATTTTGAATTGGGACGCAGTATCTACTTGGTGCCTTCTCTGAATATGAGGAATGTCGAGTACCCAGTTGGCTTCCAAAATAGGAAAACTCAACTTAAGTATACAAAAAAAAAACCTTTGGTCAATTTGTACTTTTGGGCTGTGTCTGGATGTTCAACAAAAGCTTAAAAAAAAGGGGAGTTTTGTGGGGGGTGCTGGGGGTGGTTGGTCGAGGTGGTTCTTAAAAGTCAATAAAATCTATGTAGGTAGCAGTTGTACAAAACATAATGGCCTCGGCATGTATGTAACAGGCCACCGTAGTTCAATTCACAGGAGTCACGGGAAGACTGGTTGTTTAACGCCACCCTGGGTGGAGAAGACAGCTGAGTGAAAAGGAAGACGGGTTAAGACGTTTTAAAGGAGAGATCCGTGGCTCTGTCCAGTTCTGTCCAGTGGAGGGGTTGGGGGAGGACAAAAGTTAAGGCGATCGACGGTGGATGCCAACGGCGGCTCACAGGAGCGAGCAGCGGAAGAAGCTGCTCTTCTTGGGCTGCTCTGTGATCTTCACTCCTTGACTGCTGCCTTGGGGGTTGTTACCCTCCTGGAACGCATCATGAACAAGAAGCGCTCAACAACATCTACCCACACCTCCTATTATTATTATTATTATTATTATGTCTGCTCACCAGCTTCTTGTCCATCTTGGCTTTGATATCTCGGGCGAGGGATAAGAAGGCCTGCACATGAGCGGTTCAATGTCATTGAAAGCACCACGGGGGGGGGCGGGGGGGGGGGGTCAATGTTAGCAATTGTGAAGCGTGAACGTACGTTCTCCACGTTGATGTTGGCCTTCGCGCTGGTCTCCATGAACTTGATGCCATATTCCAGGGCCAGCTAAACAGAAACGCAGTGAGACAAAAATCTGTTTAGCTAATCTTGTGCTACAATCACGTACCCTTTCTTAGATTACTTTTGGACACATATTTGACATCATTGGAGGAAATTCACCTAGTCACTGCTTTTGTGCTCAGGCCAAGCAATAAAAGTATGACTGTGGCACCATCTTGTGGTATCTTGGTGTCACACGAGGTTGAAGTGTGTTAAGGAGTTTCAGTTGGAACAAAAGCAGTGCTTTGTCAACATCTTACGGAATTGTAAACCTTCATGGAATACCGAGGGTTTATCATTTCAAAAATTGTCGTCATTGTTTATGTAAATTTGTTGAGGTGCTAACTTTTGGGTTTTGGTTAGCTGTAAAGCTATCTTGAGCTAAATTATGATAAATAAAATCATCCTACCATTTTAACGTTTCACGGTGTTCTAATTTATGAATGCACCTGCATGCATCTTATCTCAGAAATGTAACTCGAACCTTTTCTCCTCTTTCTTTGGACACCTGTCGCTTGTCATTGACGTCACATTTGTTGCCAAGGACCATTCGCTCCACATCTGCAGAGGCGTGCTGGTGAAAGGAGAGTCACATTGTCGACATTATAAATAGTCAGTGCAAAGGTCTTCAGTTCGACTCCTGCAGATCTGAATTTGGACTTACATCAAACAACAACAAACAATTGTGAAATTTGATGGATGATAAATACATCAACTGAATTTGTTGATCTGCTGTGGTGTCAGACTGAATAATCTCAGTCCAAGAATGAGCCGTAGTCCATCACAAAGTCATAATTACTAGCAAGCATTTGGAAGAAAAACACTTCTAGGCCATACATACAAAACAATGCAATGAAAACAGTCAGCACAGTAGAACATAAGTCCGCCTTCCTGTGTTGCACGATGGCACAATCATACCCTGCTACATAAACTAGTTCACTGTGCGCCATTGGTAACCTCCAAATAGTCATAAACCGAAGACAATGCCGCCACCGCCAATATATAATGTCTGATTGGTGCACACAATCTTGCAATTTACACACACACACAAAAAAAAAAACATATGCAGATCAAAGAATTGACATTTGTAACATTT